CGGACCGCAAACAGCCACAGAAAATGGGGGGCAGCCGCATGGATCATGGAGGTACGAGCGACCTCCATGACTAAGCCAATGCGGCGCTCAGCAACCCCATTCTGCTGCGGAGAGGCCGGAAGCATGAACGACAGGGTGATGCCGTGCTCCTCACAGAAGGCTGCCAAGAGGTTGGAGGAAAACTTACCACCTCTGTCAGAGTGCAGACGTAGGACGGGGAACTCTGTCCCGAACCGCTCACGGAGCTGGAGACGAGCAGTGCGGATCCAGGGGATCAAAACATCAGGGACCTCACCCTTGGTGCGCAAGGGGAAGACTGTGGTGTAACGCGTGTAGTCGTCGATGACCAGTAGGAAGTACCGCTCGTGGCCCTGTCCACAGACGCGGGCTGGGCCCCACACGTCCAGATGGAGAGTCTGCAGGGGAGCCTCTGTGGGAGGGAACGAGGAGGAGTGAGGAGCGGCGCGCTGCCGCCCCTCGATATAGGGAAGACAAGGAGGAGCACGCAAGGGTGGGAGGGGAGGGAGAACCCTGAGAAGACCAGAGACAAGGACACGGCGGTGCACGCTACGAAGGCGCTGCATCGAGGGGTGACCAAGGCGGTGGTGCGAAAGGAGGGTCTGGTGCGATAAGGCGCGACACGAACAGGGGGCCGACAACTGACCCGGCGCAGACGCAGACGCAGCTATCTGAGGTGACTCAGTGGTCAGTGTGTACAAGCCCGACCCCGGCTGCCGAAGGTAGCCAGGTGACGACCCGTCTGAGCACACGTGCAGTGTGTCACATGCTCGTAGGCAGGGGTGAATTGGTGAACACCCGCGTCCTGGAGCGCAGAACCCGCCACCAAGTTCATAGAGAACGAGGGGAGGTGAAGATTTGATATTGTGCCAGACGTGGCAGCAGGACAAGGGAGGACAGTGGAAGAGGTCGCACGGACTGGACCCCCAGAGGGGTCTGCCAGAGAGACTGGAACCGGGTGACTGAGCGGCGTGAGGGTGATGCTGTCGCGAAAGAAGGAGCGAGAAGCACCAGAGTCAAGTGTGAAGGTGTACAAGGCCTGAGCAAGCGCAGTACAAGAGAGAGCAGACTCACCAGCACCTGGAGCAGCACTCTCATCCGTACCTAGAGCAGGAGACACACTAGCCCCTAGAGCAGCAGCCTCACCAGCACCTAGAGCAGCAGGCTCTATACGTGGGTCAGGCGGTACGCACAGGTAACAAGCACGGTCAGCACTAGTAGGCAGTGCATACATGGCAGTGAGAATAGCATCATAGTCAAGAGCAAAGATATCTACCCTCTGCCCAAGCAGCTCCACCGAGTCGGGGAGCTCAGCCTCGTCGCCAAAATCGGTACGCCAGGCGTCGCTCAGACGGGCGAAGCAGCGGAACTCTGTGTGACTGAGTGTCCCGCAAGCCTGACCAGTCCGAGCACTAGTGTGAATGATGTACGGGCAGTGAACGGTACTCAGAAACCCTCTACTCTGAGCGTACCACTCGTGAAGCTGCTGGGACGTAATTGTCTCGCGTGGACGGCGCTGCAGCTGCAGCTGGCCACTGCCAAACTCTCCCAACTGACCAGCTCCAGGGCGACAGCTACAACGGCTACCGCGACAACCCCAACTAGCGTACCACTCACTAAGCTGCTGGGGCGTGCGAGATTCGCGCGGACGTCGCTGGAGCTGCATGTGGCCACCGCCAGTAGTAGCAGTAGTAGCAGTAGTAACAGCAGTAGCAGCAGTAGCAGCGCGGCCACCCCTACAACCCCAACTAGCGTACCACTCACTAAGCTGTTCGGGCGTGAGGGAGTCACGCGGATGTCGCTGGAGCTGCATCTGGCCACCGTCAGTAGCAGCAGTAGCAGTAGTAGCAGCAGCAGCGCGTGCAGGGCAGGTGCAGTAGGCAGGCAGGTGGCAGCGCACGAACAAGGTAGGTGCTCACCAGTGGCGGGAAGGGCAGGTGCATGACGGCGGCGACGGTGGGGTCGCTACAACTCCAGCAGAGGAGGGCCGTGTCGGCGGTAGGGCAGGTCCGCGACAGCTGCTGTAGGGCGGGGCCGTGACAGCTGCAGGGCGGGGCCCCAACGGCGGCAGAAGGCTCTGCGGTAGCTGGTGCAGGGCGGGGCCGCGACTGCGGCAGGAGGCTCCGCCGCAGCTGCTGCAGGGCAAGGCCGCGACCGCGACAGGAGGCTCCGCGACAGCTGCTACAGGGCAAGGCCGCGACGGTGGCAGAAGGCTCTGCGGCAGCTGCTGCTGGGTAGGGCCGGGACTGTGGCAGGGCGCTCCGTGGCAGCTGCTGCAGGAGCGACGGTGGCAGCTGCTGCAGGACGGCGTCCAGGGGCACCCGCGAGGAACAGGGGCAGCCGCGGCGCGCGAGGTTGCAGCGCGCTGCGCAAGCTATGGGCGCGGCGCGCGGGGCTGCAGCGCGACGCGCGGGCAGCGAGCGCGACGCAAAGGGCTGCAGCGCGACGCGCGGGCAGCAGACGCAACGCGCGGGGCTGCAACGCGACGCGCGGGCAGCGAGCTCGACGCGCGGGGCGGCGACCTGGCCTGACGGGTCTGCAGGGGCGGCTCGTGGGGCTGACGGGCCTGCAAGGGCGGCTCGCGGGCCTGACGGGCCTGCAGAGGCGGCTAACGGGCCTAACGGGCCTGCAGGGACGGCTGGTAGGCCTGATGGGCCTGCAGGGGCGGCGCTCTGGCCTGACGGGCCTGTAGGGGCGGCGCTCTGGCTTGACGGGCCTGCAGGGGCGGCTTGCGGGCCTGACGGATCTGCAGGGGCGGCTCACGGGCCTGACGGGCCTGCAGGGGCGGCGCACGGGCCTTACGAGGCTGTAGGGGCGGCGCGCGGGCCGTACGGGCCTGCAGGGGCGGCACGCTGGCCTAGGGCAGCACTAGGCAGCGCGAGGGCTGCAGAACGGCGCGCGCAGCGCAGCACGGCACAAGGCAAGGCAGAGAGGCAGGCAAGCTCAGGACAATACGTGGGGTAGCATGGTAACCGCAACGGTTGGTGGGGCCGAAAAAGAAACGGTCCTACAGACCTAGTGCTCTGAAACCATGTTAGAATCTAGCAGCAGGAATGATTGAACTATGGAAGATTTGGGTACAAATATGAAACCCTAAAGTGGGTTGTACCCCATATTGGCTACCCCACTACAGCCTAAACATGTATAGTAGATATAACGTTTGACATGTTGCCATAAATATGTATTTAACGATCAGGGATGTTCAATTCATTCCGTTTGGTGACGTGGGTTCTATGTTCCCTCGATGGGCCAATACGTGTCTACGCTGTGTATGAGCAACGTACACGTGGCGTCGATGAGTGCGCCGTGTACGTTTGGTGCACGTTGCGCCGCACCGACGTGAGGTACGGTCACGCGGCGAAGAATTGTGCGTTGTCATTTTCATTTCGACCACAGTTTTCACGATGCTTGTTTTTGGCCTCAAAGCAAAGATGTGAAGGGTCGACCACATTTGACTCATACGCATGTGGAGCTTTCGTCGTCTGGTGACCACTTGCACAAGTGGCACTGGGAGTCTATAACGTGGGTGCAACTGGCTGGCCCAAAATACACGCGCGCAGAGTTTCTGGCGCGTGCAGGGCAAAGTCGGGCGCAGCAGTTGAGCAACATGTGTACTCCTGTGGTGAGACGCGGAACTCCCCATCCCCGTCTTCGCTCTTGACTCTCATGAAAAGGCATCTCCCATCTTGCTTTTCCTCTAGAAGCTCAGTCTGTCCATTTCTATCGCAGATACTGTACTTCCTTCACCTGTCAAACTTTCGCTCCGTTAGTGATACATGATTGACCATCTCTCTCTACGTTATCAAAGACTCTCTTTATGTTATCACAGACTCTCTTTACGTTATCAAAGACACTCTTTACATTATCACAGACTCTCTTTACGTTATCATAGACTCTCTTTACGCATGACCCTCTCATGCAGTCTAGCTGCTGTCCTGTCCTCCGCCGTCCTCTCCAAAACCCAACACACACTGTCATCTGCTTCGCAACTAAAACGTAATACGTTGAGAGCAATTAGGGTTGAGGCTTCACCTGCTGCCGTCAACCTGCGCTAGTCTAAATGTCCCCGCCACTCTCGTGTTACCATGCGGCGCAGCCATGGCGGTTTTCCTCGTCACTTTCAGCCGCACGCTAAACCACACTCCCGTGCAGCTGCTTCGCATGCCCTGCGCCCAGGCTGCTACGATTCGAGTGCTCTAGAGAGGACCGTGTCGTCACATCTTGTACTTCTTAGCTAGGTGGTCAGTGCTGGGATCGGCTATCATGTGTGCATATGACGAGGTCCTTTTCAAGAGTCCCTGATGCTTTGTTGTTTCTGATTATCTGCATGTCTGTTAATTGTACATTGCATTTTTATTGCAATTGTTTGTCCATCTATTAGCTTATCATTAGCACGAATCCATGATTTAGCCTAACTTTTACTGACTGGGTTGTGCATCAGCTGCAGGAAGGTTGACAACATAGCTATTATTATTTCTTACCAGCAATTTTAGCAGCCACATGCAGTCGCCCCTCTCTTTTCAGTCGTCCTCCAAATCGACGGATGGGTGGAAGTGGGTGCCGTGAAAGGGAGGAGGGTGATGGGGTCACAAGCGCGTGGGTGGGAGAGTGGAAGAGATTGTGGAGGGTAGGGGAACCATGATTGGTCCAGGGGGAGGAAAGCAAGAGCATAGAGGAAGGAGAAGTGGATGTGGTGCGGAAGCTGTGAAGGACTTGAAATGTGAGATGATACGAGCAAAATGTGGTGCAGGAATCCTCCAATATATATGCAGAAAGACAAGCAAACAACTTCACAGAAGCAGCTAGCCTTTCTATCACCCACACCCCCAGGTGGAATCCGCCTACCACCCACACATCCAACGCTCTACTAACCCAAAGTCTGGCTGAACATCCACCTGTTTGACCCATCCTCCTCCTATCACCTTCGGAACAGTGGAGCCCAATCTCTCCTCTCCCCTTCCGCACCCCCCCTTCACGCCGCTCTAAGAGGTTGACACGGTGACGGCCTTGACAGCGTTAGCGGACGGGGTGAACCAAGCGGGCGGCACAAAGTTGAACCCATTCGCGACAGCCGAGCCCTTGAACTTGGCGAGCGAGCTCACGAGAAACTGCTTCGCGACGGCGCCGCCATTCTTGGGCAGAACCTTCTTCACAAACACATATTGCATGGAGACAGCGGCGGGCGCCTTGGCGATCGACTTCCAGATCAGATCCACCTGGTCCCACGAAGCGTCTGGCGCGGGGCGGGTAGCGCCGTTGAGCGCGTTCGTCGCGACCCAGGTCTTGGACGTGAGCGCCTGCCCGAGCGCGTTCTTGAGAGCCACCTCGGCGATCTTGGTGCTGAACTTCTTCACCTGCGCCGAGCACGCGCTCACGTGCGCGTACCCGATCGCGCCCACCTTCGCCACCACCGCGTTGCACATCGCGGCGTTCGACGCCACCGTCAGGAGACCCCCGAAAGTAAGCGGCGAGCCGTCAGTCTTGCCGGTGTAGCCCGTGCCCGCCTTGGCCCACAGTTGCTGGATGATGGCCGTAGTGCCGACCTTATCGGAGCGCGCATAGCGGTAAATGGGGCCGGCAATCTTGCCCTTCGCGGCGGGAATACCGCTCCAATCAGAAACGTCGCCGCTGTAAATTTTGTGAGTGTCGGCCACGCTGAGAACAATGCTCTTCCCGTGGACGAAGAAGTTGTACGCGGCCACGGCGACGGGAAGAGTGATTTTCGCAACACCGGAATTCTGGCCTTCCACGGTGGCGGTGATGGGCTCGGAGGCGGCGCCAATGAGGTAGGTACCGTTGTAGAAACCCTTGATACCGTTGCTAGAGCCTGAGGGATCGTAGGGCCCCACCAGCAGCGCGGGCTTTGCCTTGGCCGCCTTGTTCCACACGGCGATCAGCGCCTTCGCCACCTGCAGGAATTGCGTATCGCGTTTTGGGAAAAAAGAGGGAACGATCATGTGGTGAGTGGTAGATACAAAACTACCGCATCGCTTTCCACAAAATGATCAGCGCCGCACATTTGACTCAACTATGCGATTTTGAAAGCATATGGGTACGAGTGATTGTAAATGGGTTTAGAGAGGCATAAGTGGTAAAAATCCGACGCGTCAAAAAGCGAACACACCGCCAGAAGGTTTTGTTTGTGAGAACGCTGCAGAAAGAATCATCGTGCTGCCAGATTTCCCTGAGCTCAGGGTGTTGCAAAATGACACGTACCGGCTCAAGGGGCTGCGCTCCACCCCAGAAGGGACTGATGACGGCAGAGACGGACGTGGCCAGCGACAGGGCCACGAGCAGGAGCACAGCGCCACGAGCGATCGGAGCCATTGCTGTTAAAAGGTGGAGTCTCAGATTGAAGAAGCAGAAGGACAGAGTGTTCAGTCGTTGATCAACAAGTGATCAACAGAAGAATGGATACTCAAAGTTTGATGAGAAAATTTAGATTTTGTGTTGGGTTTTATGTTGGATGCTGCTGGTGGATGCTGCTTTTCTCACCGTGAGCTGGGAAGGTCGAGAGTGTCCTGACTCGAACCGAAAATTGCTAATCAGAAATGCGGTTCGGACGCCGAGTCGCGCGGTTCTTCAGGAAGGGACGGGAGTATGCGTAGTGTACTGTACACCACTCCGCGCGATACACGAGGGGGTGTAGAAGAGTAAATTTTATCATGTGCTAAATGCAATGTTCGTGATGAAGCTGCGAAACGTGGAGTCCATATGCAGATAACCGCTCTTGTGGGAATGCATTGAGAGCACTTATACCGAACCTCCACCGTCCAGATGCGGGTGATCGGAGATCAGGTATGTTGCTGTGAGGGAATCTGAAAGCTGAAGGGATAAGGAGCTCGGGAGAAATGCTGCCACGGGGACCGCACGCACTCTCTGCTGCCAGATAGAAACCTACTCAAGCTGCGGCTGCTGGCGAAATGTCGTGAAAGTGGCGAAAATTCATATTTTCGTGCATAGAAGCCGCGCCTCGACTGGGCACAAAACATGCCAGCTGGATCTGGACATGCTGGCTCCTAGTAGAGCCATGACCCGAATTTGGACACACGAACGAACAGCACATGTTCGCGGTTCGGGTCGAAATGCAGCTTGGCATAGCCAAAATTGCGCGAGCCGGATCCGATCCGAGAATCCACCACTCGCGGCAACCACACGCACCGCTATCTACAGACAAAGCCCCCCAAAACACTGGACTGCCGCTATCTATCTAGCAGGTCCCCTGGTCTGGTCTAGAGCTCCTCGATCCGCGGCGCAGCACTGCACTCCCGCGTTTCATGTGCTGCAGCACGTGATCAGCAGCAAGACGCCCGTTCATTGGACCGACTAAAAAACGGCGTTTTTACGCCCAGAGTGAAATGTTGCCGCCGTTACGGAGCGATTCGTCAGACGGTTCTCACTCCCTACCCGCCAAGGGCGGGCCAAAACCTAGAAGACACCGCCACAGAATAACTCCAGGCTACTCTGCCCACCGACAGGAGCTCTCCACTCTCAGTGTCGGCGGCAACTCTGCTAGCCTACTGTTGGTACTAATCCATCCGTCCTCGTGCATTGTACCACGGGAGCGTGATGTCAGAATCACCGAAGTCGTTTACGCCTGGAAGCGCCGCGACGATCTCAAGGGGCACCTGATCGGCACAATACAGTACAGCACGTTAGGCTTGGTGCTGGACATGAGAGGCTGCTTTTGAGTCGACTCAAAAACAGTACAGTACAGCACGTTAGGCTTGGTGCTGGACACGAGAGGTGTCCTTTCTGCCATGTAGGCGCCTCAAAGATTATCCAAGGGGCAACTAGTCGGCACATTACAGCACGTTAGGTTTGATGTTGGACACGAGAGGTGTCCTTTGTGTCATGATGTCCCCTTACTCCCCTCCCTCCCCTCTCCTCTCCACTCACCTCGTCTTCAGGTCTCTTAGTCCCCCACCCCTACTGCTCTCCCTCCCCCTTCCTCCTTTGTTCCACAACTCGTTCCTCCTCTTCCAGTAACTGACTCCCCCCCACCCGCCCTGCCTCTCATGTCTCCAACATTCACACCCCTTCTCCAGGAGAAAAGCACAACATTTTCTCACCCAGAGATGTCTTGAAAAAAACATGTGCTGGTTGATTCAAATTGTTGCCCCCTTGCAGATCCTGAAAGGCTCAGAAAGTTTGTGCCACCTGTTTGCCACTGACAGTGCCAGCCTCACAAGAATTATGTCTTCAGGAATCCATGGCTGCTGCTGCAAGCTAGAGCCTATGCCTAGACCACCTGGCCCTCACAGCTGGAAAGCATATGGGTTACGCACAGTAGGGCTGGTAACTGCTTGCAATGGGGCGTGACAGGTTTGCTTGAGAAGGGGAACAGTGATAGATCAATAGAAACTAGAGTAGGTATGTGGTTCAGCCATCCCCAAGGGCTAGAGAATGAACGTAAGGTGGCTGGCTAACAAGTTCGCTGAAAGGAGCATGAGCAACCAAAGCATGGCGTGAACCATGCCCGCCATGCCACATGATGTGCGCCCTGTCAGCATGACGTGTGCCATGTCAGCATGATGCATGCCATGTCAGCATGATGTGCTTGTGCCCCTGCAGCGTTTGGCGCCTCGGAAGCAAGGAAGTCCTTGTCACGTCGAATACCAGATCAAGTAGTACCAACTCGAATAACATTAACGGGATGAGATGGGAAGAGATGGGATATGCACTTGGGTGTGCGCTTCAGCGTCGGCTAATTTTTAGGCGCCTAAAGAATTGACGGGATGGGATGCTATGTGCTTCAGCGTCGGTCCCCAGGTGCAAGATGGATGATGTCACGGCGTTAAGGAAACGGCGCACTGCACACACACACACACACACACACACACACACACACACACACACACACACACACACACACACACACACACACACGCGCGCGCGCGCGCGCGGTCACACGCGGTCCAACGAGGTCACATGCGGTCCAACGAGGTCACATGCGGTCACATCCGGTTGACACAGGCAGCACAGAAAGGAAGAAGATGACATTGAGGGAACGGGAGCGAGGGGATTGAGATACGAAGGTTGCAAGGAGGGAGTACAGCAGCAGAGATTGGAGGGGGAGACAGTGCAGGGGGAGACAGTGCAGGGGGAGACAGTGCAGGGGGAGACAGTGCAGGGGGAGACAGTGCAGGGGGAGACAAGCATACACCATAAGGGTAGATGTTGAGGGTCTCTCACGCATGAATTGCTGGCCCCTTCTCAAGTGGACATCCACCCATGCCCAGTGCTTCTCTCCTGCCACTTTCGCTGCACTGATCAGCTCTCTCCATCAGACACGCCACTTCCCACAACGCAGTGAACAACGATATGCTTTGAGACGCCTCAAAACAGGTCCCCTCCCCCACCGTCCATTCAACCAACGTGATGTGATGCTGCTCCACTCGCCTCTCTTCCTCCCTCCTTGGGAACACACCCAGTGAGTGAACCTGTCAGTCACTACCACCTACCTCGCTGCCCTGCACCTGCAGCACCATCAGCACCCCCTTCCCCAACGTTGCTCCACTCACCTCTCTGTTCCGCTCCATGGGACACTCTCTGGCAAGCCTCGCCCCTGCGGCCACCGCTAGGCTCTTCACACACCCCCGCGGGGCCCCAGCAGCAGCAGCACCAGCAGCACACTCTCCCTTGCCGCACCTACCCCTACCCCTTGCTTGGCCAACCAAACTCACCTCTCTGTTCCTCTCAATGGGACACTCTCTGGCAATCCTCGCCCCTTCGGCCACCTCTAGGCTCTCCACGGACCCCCTCCGGGCAACCTATTCCCCCCATCCACCCCAATCGTTCCACTCACCATCCTCCTCCCCACTCAAACTCACCTCTCTGGCAAGCCTCGCCCCTTCGGCCACCTCTAGGCTCTCCACAGACCCCCGCGGGGCAACCCCTTCCCCTCTTCTCCCCATCCTACCAGCGTTGTTCCACTCACCTCCCTGGTCTTCTCTATCGGACACTCTCTGGCAAGCCTCGCCCCCTCAGCCACCTCTAGGCTCTCCACAGAACCCCGCGGGGCACCAGAAGCAGCAGCATCGACGGCAGCGGCAGCAGCGTCGCCTGTCTGCTGCACTGCGCTGCTGCACAGCCGCCCCGCCTGCTTGAGACTGGAGAGGCCGAGGAAACGGTTCACTCGCGCCTGCGTGTGGGCGTTCAAAGTAGCACCGCCCTTGGAGGATATGGGGTGGTGCAGTGAGAGCAGGGCCACCTGGGGAAGGGCGGGGATGGGGAGAGGAGAAAGAGGCGAGTTTTGAACCCACTGAAATTGACATCAGCAGCATCACCCCTCTGATGCACCTCGCTGCTGCACACCCCCCCCACCCCCCCGCCTGCTTGACGCTTGACAGACCGAGAAAACGGTTCACTCGCGCCTGCGTGTGGGCGTTCAAAGTAGCACCGCCCTTGGAGGATATGGGGTGGTGCAGTGAGAGCAGGGCCACCTGGGGAAGGGCGGGGATGGGGAGAGGAGAAAGAGGCGAGTTTTGAACCCACTGAAATTGACATCAGCAGCATCACCCCTCTGATGCACCTCGCTGCTGCACACCCCCCCCCCCCCCCCCCCGCCTGCTTGACGCTTGACAGACCGAGAAAACGGTTCACTCGCGCCTGCGTGTGGGCGTTCAAAGTAGCACCGCCCTTGGGGGGTATGGGGTGGTGCAGTAAGAGCAGGGCCAACTGCGGAAGGGCGGGGAAGGGGAGAGGAAAGAAAGGCGAGTTTTGAACCCACTGAAATTGACATCAGCAGCATCACCACTCTGATGCACCTCGCTGCTGCACAGCAAACCCCCCCCGCCTGCTTGAGACTGGAGAGGCCGAGGAAACGGTTCACTCGCGCCTGCGTGCGGGCGTCCAAAGTAGCACCGCCCTTGGGGGGTATGGGATGATGGAGGGCGAGGAGAGACACCTGGGGGAAGGGAGGGGATGGGGAGAGGAAGGAGACAAGTTATGAGCCAACAAAACATCAACATCAGCAGCAGCAGCGTCACCCGATTGCTGCACCTCGCTGCCGCACAGCCGCCCCGCCTGCTTGACGCTTGAGACACCTGGGGAAGGGTGAGGAATGCGGTTAACTTGGTTGACTTGGTTGACTCGGTTGACTTGCGCCTGTGTGTTGGCTTGGCGTTGAGAGGGGTGCCGCCCTTGGGGGTGTGCCGCAGTGGAGGGAGAGGAGGGACAGCTGGGGAAGGGAAGGGAGGGGAGGGGATAGGGCGAGGAGCGGGGGGGAAGAGGATGCTTTGAGAAGCTTGGCGTGGTGGATTAGATTGATTTTTGAGGCGCCTCAAAAATTTTGAGACGATTTTTGAGGCGCCTCAAAAGGCGAGGAGCGGGGATAGGAAGAGGATGCTTTGAGAAGCTTGGCATGGTGGATTGGATTGCTCTTATGGGATGTTGGCGTTGAGTCGGGTGCTGCGAATGGATGTAGCCTGGTGGAGCGAGAACCGAGGGGCACCTGGGGTAGAGATGGGGAGAGGATGTAAAGGGGGGAAGGAGGGTTTGGGGTTTAGAATTCTCAAAAAACATACTCACTCGGCTGTTGAGGTTTGTTGCGGGCGTTGCATTGCATGGGTAGATACTGACTCACCGTGTTGCGGCATAGCCCCCACACTTGCACTCAAACTCACAGGAAGCGCATTGGTCCTCCCAATAGTGCCCCTTCCTTGACCCCACAACCCACCCCCATCCTCACCTTGCGCGGGTTAACAATGACCCGCCGTGTGCCCGCATCGCCCTCACACAATGCCGCATCCACCTCTCCTCCTCCTCCTCCTGCCGCTCCCACTGCTGCCTCCCCTGCCGCATCAGCATTGCACACAGGAGCCGGCTCTCTAAACACTGCCCTCTCTACTGCAAATACAGCACCAGTGCTGCTGCTATTACCCCTGCCACCACCATCACCAGCAGCATCAGCTTCATCCTCCTCTCCTCCCTCCCCGCCAATCCCCTCTCTCTCCACCTTCACCACATCTGCCTCCCCCAGACAGACCTCCGTGCTCCACCGCACTGCACCCAGGGAAAGGTAGGGGGAGGCGGCGAGGGAGGAGGGGGAGGAGGCGGAGAGGAGCGAGGGGAGGGTGGCGGGGGGCGAGGCGGAGAGATACTCGTCTAGGTCGAGAGGGAGGGTCCAGGTAGAGGAGAGAGAGGTGCGGTAGAGACAGTCCTGTAGGGCGAGGAACTGGCGTGGGGAGGGGTGAAAGGAGGGACAGAAAATGGGGAAGAATGAATAAAGGGGAGGGTGGCAGGGGGCGAGGCGGAGAGATACTCGTCTAGGTCGAGAGGGAGGGTCCAGGTAGAGGAGAGAGAGGTGCGGTAGAGACAGTCCTGTAGGGCGAGGAACTGGCGTGGGGAGGGGTGAAAGGAGGGACAGAAAATGGGGAAGAATGAATAAAGGGGAGGGTGGCAGGGGGCGAGGCGGAGAGATACTCGTCTAGGTCGAGAGGGAGGGTCCAGGTAGAGGAGAGAGAGGTGCGGTAGAGACAGTCCTGTAGGGCGAGGAACTGGCGTGGGGAGGGGTGAAAGGAGGGACAGAAAATGGGGAAGAATGAATAAAGGGGAGGGTGGCGGGGGGCGAGGCGGAGAGATACTCGTCTAGGTCGAGAGGGAGGGTCCAGGTAGAGGAGAGAGAGGTGCGGTAGAGACAGTCCTGTAGGGCGAGGAACTGGCGTGGGGAGGGGTGAAAGGAGGGACAGAAAATGCGGAAGAATGAATAAAGGGGAGGGTGGCGGGGGGCGAGGCGGAGAGATACTCGTCTAGGTCGAGAGGGAGGGTCCAGGTAGAGGAGAGAGAGGTGCGGTAGAGACAGTCCTGTAGGGCGAGGAACTGGCGTGGGGAGGGGTGAAAGGAGGGACAGAAAATGCGGAAGAATGAATAAAGGGGAGGGTGGCAGGGGGCGAGAGCAGGTGTTTCCTCACCTTCTCCTGCTCCTTGTCTTCCCCAACAACATCTGTCACCTCCGCCATCCCCATCCGCTCGTATTCCCCACCTTCCTGCCGCACCTCATGCAGCAAGTGGCTCTTGCTCTTCTTCTTGCTAACCCTCTCACCTCCACCATAACCATCTCCTCATACCACTCCCTCCCCACCAAACACTGCCTTGCTTGCCCTGTGCTCGAGCAGGAGACACATCCCCTCAACAACAGAACACACAGCAGGAATCTCCTCACCTTTTCCTGCTCCTTGTCTGTCCCCACAATATCTGTCACCTCCACCATCCCCATCCGCTCGTATTCCCCCACTGCCTGTCGCAGCTCTGTAGGCCAGTGGCTCTTGCTGTGCCGGTACAGGACAAACCTCGCCGCCCCCGCCGCCACCCGGTGGTAGTCCAGCCACTCGCGCAAGCGGGGCGGCGAAACGCCGTTTGTTATGAGGAGCGAGCAGATGGTGAGGGGAGTGGGGAGGGGCGAGGGGGGAGTGGAGAGCTGTCGGGAAGGGAGGGAACAGTGGGATGAAATGAAAAGGGTGCAGTGCAGGGAAGGACAAGGAAACGCCGTTTGTAATGAGGAGCGAGCAGATGGTGAGGGGAGTGGGGAGGGGTGAGGGCGGGGTGGAGAGCTGTGGGGAAAGAAAAAAATCGGGGGGAAAGAAGGGAAGAAAAGGGGGGAGCGAGTAGATGGTGAGGGGCAAGGGAGCGGGGTGAAGGAAGGGTGATGAGCTGTGGAAGGGAGGGAAGAGTGGAACGATAGGGCTGCAGAGAAGGGAATATGCTGCTTGTTCTGAGGAGCAAGCAGATGGTGAGGGGCATGGGGAGGGGTCTGAAAGAGGGGTAAATTGTTGGGAAGAAAGAAAATCTATAGATATATATATGACTCCATGGCCCAATGGATAAGGCGCTGGTCTACGGAACCAGAGATTCTGGGTTCGATCCCCAGTGGAGTCGTTTTTGTGCTTGACCACTTTGGCCTTGACTGACTTATATTTTGTTAACCGACACAACCCCCTCCCCATCCCCTCTCTTTTAAAAAACATTCATTTCGCCTCGCCTCCCCGTTTGCCTACCTCCTTCCGTCACACACAATCTCTCCAGAAATGAACACCCCTTTTTCTCCCCTCCCTCTCTTGCACTCACCTCCCCTCGGCCTTCAGTGTACACAACCACCTTCGCCCCGGCAGCAGCTCCAGCATCTCCAGCAGCAGCAGCAGCACCCCCAGCAGCAGCAGTGCATTCCAAATAGCCCCCACAGGGTGGGAGAACAGTGTCGCCTTCGAACCTCAGCACCACTGCCGCAGTGCTCTGAGGGGGCGATGGGGAAAGGGGGAACAGGGGAGGGGGGGGAGGTGGGAGAGGGGAAAGGAGAATGCTGAGCAGCAGCAGTGCATTCGAGATAGCCCCCACAAGGTGGGAGCACTGTACCGCCTTCAAACCTCAGCACCATGCCGGGGTGCTCTGAGAGGGGACCGAGGAAGGAAGCAGGGGAGGAGAAAGGTGGGGCGGAGGGAGGGGGGAAAGGAGGGGGAAGGTGGGTGAGTAGAGGCAATGGCAGTGTTAACCTCAGCACCACTGCCGAGGTGCTCTAAGGGGGGGTCGAGGGAGAGAGGGGGAAAAGAGGGAGGAAGGGAAGGGGTAAAGCAGCGAGGAGGGAAGGTGGGGAGGGGGAAAAGAAGGGAGGGAGGAAGGAGGGAGGCACGAGGGAATCGCGGGGTCGCGGCGGTCGCCTCTAAACCAGAGCACTGCTGTCCTAGTGCTGCCCTAGGCGCCTCAAAACTGCACTGCTGTCCTAGTGGATCCAGAGAAACACTGCCCAGCCCTATGCGCGCCCCCCTGCACAACCCACCAGCCCACCCAACCCAGCAACCCAGCAACCCAGCAACCCAGCAACCCAGCAACCCAGCAACCCAGCAACCCAGCAACCCAGCAACCCAGCAACCCAGCAACCCAGCAACCCAGCAACCCAGCAACCCAGCAACCCAGCAACCCAGCAACCCAGCAACCCAGCAACCCAGCAACCCAGCAACCCAGCAACCCAGCAGCCCACCCAACCCAGCAACCCAGCAGCCTCGCCTCACCTCCACCTGCAGGCGCAGCAGCGAGCCTGCGATCGGCTGGGAGCCATCCAACTGGCGGAAGAGGCAGTCGTCTAGAGGGAGAGTGGGGACGTCAGGAGACAGCAAGCCCACCATCGCAATGGTGTGCGGGTTGTACCGGTATGCACTGTGGCGGAGGAGAAGGGGGAGAGAGAGAGAGGAGGGCGGAGAGAGGGGGGGGAGGAGGGGCAGAGGGGAGAGCGAAGGTTGAGGAGGGATGGGGGAGCAGGTAGAAGAGGAGAGGGATGGGCGAGGGGGGAGGAGGGGCATGTGAGCCGTCAGTTTGGCGGAAGAAGCAGCCCGAGAGGCAGGGTGGGGACAGCTGGAGGTAGCAGCCCCACGAGTGCTATGGTGTGAGGGTCAATGCTGCTGCTGCTGCTGCAGCAGCGCTCACCTGAAGAGCTGCAGGACTGGTGTGATCTGCACGAGAGAGTTCCGGCATGCTGTACGAGGTGACTTTCGAGTCGACTCAACAGTCGCCTCGTTCTAACGAGGAAATAAGGGCTCCAGAATGCAACGCAGTGCGGGCGGGGTGACTAATTTGAGTCGACTCAAAACGGGGTGACTAATTTGAGTCGACTCAAAACGGGGTGACTAATTTGAGTCGACTCAAAAGTCACCTTGGAAATAAGGGCTCCAGAATGCAACGCAGAGCGGCAGCAGCAGTGGTGCAGCTGTGCTCACCTGAAGCGCTGCAGGTCCGGTGAGTGATCTGCACAAGAGAGAGAGAGCGCCTATCGAGTCGACTCGAAAGTCGGCGCTCACCTGAAGAGCTGCCTTTTGAGGTGCCTCAAAAGACGCAACGCAACGCAGCAGCAGCAGCAGCAGCAGCGCTCACCTGAAGAGCTGCAGGTCTGGTGTGATCTGCACAAGAGAGCGCTGCTTCCATGCCTTGGCTTCTGGTGGGAGCTCGAGAGTCTGGCATGGCATGCATTGATGGATAAAGGGTGAGACGGTCAGAGGTGAGAAGGCCAGAGGGTGCGAGGCAGAAGAGAAGGCATGAGTGGGATGAAAGTGGTTGAGATGGATGGGAGTGGTTGGGAGGGATGAGAGGGATTGGGATGCATGAAAGGGGTTGAGATGGGAGAAACACCAACAGGAAGGGCCAGCGAAGAGAGGAGGAGAAAGGATGAGAGATCCACACGAGTGGGGTGGAGGGGAGTGGGGGGGAACGGAGGGGACAGGACTTAAGGAGAGAAGTAAAGAGAGGAATAGCGGTGAGAAAGAGGGAGGGAAGGAAGGAAAGTGCCAACACAGGCACTTCAATCACCACCACCACACCATTCGTCCATCACCTCGCCTCATCTCCGCACTACTCCAATCCCCATCACCATCACCATCCCCATCCCCATCCCCATCCCCATCCCCATCCCCATCCTTATCCCGATCCCCATCCTTATCCCCATCCCCATCCCCACCTCTGCCACATCTATGCCTCCTGGCGTTGCAGGTAACTCATCCTCTCCCTCTGACTTTTCAGTCAACTCAAAGGTCACTCCATCTCACCTCATCGCCGCATTGCTGCACCTCCGCCACATCTATTCCTCCCACTGCTCGTGACTCATCCTCCTCCCCTTCCTCCCCCACTTCCCCTCCCTCCTCCTCCCCTTCCTCCCCCACCTCCCTCTCCCCCTCCCCCGCCTCCTCTTCACCTCGCGCCTCTGTCTCCCCTGCAGTCCCAGCACTCTTCTTCCCAACCTGCTCACCCGTCCCTGCTTCCCCCTCTCCTCCCTCCTCCTCCTCTCCCTCCTCCTCTCCTCCCTCCTCTCCTTCCTCTCCCACATCCCCTTCGCCTGGGTAATCCTCTGGAGGGCCTAAGTCAGCATCATCCTTCCCCTCCTCCTCTTCCCCTTCCGCCTCGCCCTCCTTTCCTCCAACCGTCCCTCCCATCGCACCAGCAACAGCAGGAGCATCAGGACCGGGAGCATCAGAGGGAACCGGGACAACAACCGCTGCAGGGTCCGCAGGTTCGGGAATGACAACCGCAGCAGGTTCGTTCGGAGAAGGCACCACAACAGCTGCGGGTTCGCCTGCTTCGGGAACAGCAACCGCGCCAGCGGCAGGTTCCTTTGGTGCTGGAAAAACGACCGCTGCGGGTACGGTTGTTTCAGGAACGACGACTGCAGCGGGTTCCGTAGGCTCTGGGATTACGACTGCTGCAGGCTCGGTGGCGTCTGGGATAATAACCGCAGTAGGCTCTTTTGATGCTGGTACTGCTGCGGGTTTATTTGGTGGTGGAACCACAACTGCTGCAGGTTCCGTTGGCTCTGGGATTACAACTGCTGCAAGCTCGTCTGATGCGGGGATGACCGTTGCTGCAGGAACGTTGGGTGTTGCAAGTGCTGCTGTGGTTGCAGGGATTTCGGCTGCTGCAACGGATGCTGTTGCTGGGTCTGGTGCGACTGAATGTGAGGGGGTAGGAGGGAGAGAAGGCGAGGAGACAAAAAAAACGAGAAAAAGGAGAGATGGGATGATAAGAGGGAGCAAAGCAACCATCACTGCAGGTTGGTCAGGTGTTAAATGCGCTGTGGTTGTGGGTTGACTTGTCTTTGATATGTGAGGTGCGCGCCTGTGGACGCGAGGATTTTCTGCTGCTGCGACTGATGCTGCTGCTGGGTTTGGTGTGACTGAGTGAGTGAGTGGGTTTTGGGTGAGTGGGGTGGGTTTTGTGGGTTGGAGGGAGACATTGCAGGGATAGAAAAGCGAGATGAGAACACAGATCATGGAAGGAGAGGGACCACGGGGAAAAAAGGATAAGGGGAGCAAGGGGAAACGAGAGGAGAGACAACAGAGAATGTGTGTGCAACTTCCGTGAGAGGGAATGTATGTGCAGCTGCTGCAGAGCCGACCTCACCTAGGGGTGAGGCACGGAGGCAAGAACCTCACCTTTCCCCCCAGTTACCACCTCGACCTGCAGCTGCTGCAGCACCTCCGTGCTATCCGCCAGCTCCTTCTCAACCACGTCCACCCTCTCCTGCACCCTTTTCAACCGCTCTTCATCGCGCTGCACCCTCGCTTTCAGCGGTTCCAGCAGCTTCCCCACCGCCTGCTGCACAGCAACCCCACCCGTGCTGTTCACACCAGCAGCAGCACTCCCTTCAGCAGCAGCAACAGCAGCAGCAGCGGCAGCAGCGGCAGCAGCACTCCCTTCAGCACCAGCACTCACACCCCCAGCGGCAGCAACAAGCGAGTCCAGTTTCCCGCGCAGCAGCGCGTGTTGCGACGACAGCTCCTCCACCTGCACCCTCAGCTTCGCTAGCTGCACCACTGGGGGGACGGGCGCTGCCGGCTTGGCTCCCGTCTTCTGGTGTTGAGGGGGGAGAGGAGGCATGGGACGGGGGCAGGGGGGGAGGGGAATAGGAAGGGGGGAATGGGACAGGAGAAGGGCAGCAGCGCGTGTTGGGACGAGAGCTCCTCCACCTGCACTCTCAGCTTCGCCAGCTGCACCACGGGGGGGACTGGCGCTGCTGGCTTGGCTCCCGTCTTCTGGTGGTGAGGGGGGGGCGAGGGGGGAGGAGTGGGGAAAGTAGGGGGAGAGGGAACGTGGGATGGGATGGGGGTGGGTGGGGAGGGGGACGAATAGGACGGCAGAAGGGCAGCAGGTCGTCTTGGTACGCCAGCTCACAAGCGCGGTGACGATCAGAAACTGATATACCGCCACCAGCACCCACCCCCACCAGCACCCACCTGGTTACCGTTGAGCTGGTCCCTGATCTCGCGAATCTCCTCCTCGAGCGTGTCAAACGTCACCTGGAACACGCCTGTGCGTGGGGTGGGGTGGGGTGGGGTGGGGTGGAGAGAGATGCGGTTAGAGGGCTCACATATCTCCTCCAGCGTGTCAAACGTCACCTGGAACACGCCTGCGCATGCCATGCCATGCCATGCCATGGCATGGCATGGCATGGCATGGGACGCGTGCAGCAGCAGATGGAGTGCAGTTGCAGGAGAAGAACGAGCATCATGAGCAAAGAGGGGTGTGGGAGGGAGGCTGCGGTTGCACAAGGCAGCTCGCGAATCTCCTCCTCCAGCGTGCCAAGTGTCACCTGGAACACGCCTGCACGTGGGGTGGGGAGGAGGGGGAGGAGGGGGGGAAGGGAGGGAAGGATAGGGTTGCTGAAGCTGGGAGGATAGGGGCTCGTGAATCTCCTCCTCGAGCGTGCCAAGCGTCTCCTCCTCGAACATGCCAAGCGTCTCCTCCTCGAGCGTGCCAAGCGTCTCCTCCTCGAGCGTGCCAAGCGTCTCCTCCTCGAGCGTGCCAAGCGTCTCCTCCTCGAGCGTGCCAAGCGTCTCCTCCTCGAGCGTGTCAAGCGTCACCTGGAACACGCCTGTGCGTGGGGTGGGTGGGATGATGAGCAGCAAAGGAGGAGACGGGGGCGGATGGCAGAAAAGGTTAGAGATGCAGACGTGACGTGACGTGGGGAGTTTTGGCACGTTGAACGTTTTGAGACGTCTCAAAACACGTTGAACGCTTTGAGACGTCTCAAAACACGTTGAACGTTTTGAGACGTCTCAAAACACGTTGAACGCTTTGAGACGTCTCAAAACACGTTGAACGCTTTGAGACGTCTCAAAACACGTTGAACGTTTTGAGACGTCTCAAAACACGTTGAACGCTTTGAGACGTCTCAAAACACGTTGAACGCTTTGAGACGTCTCAAAACACGTTGAACGTTTTGAGACGTCTCAAAACACGTTGAACGTTTTGAGACGTCTCAAAACACGTTGAACGCTTTGAGACGTCTCAAAACACGTTGAACGCATTGAGACGTCTCAAAACACGTTGAACGCATTGAGACGTCTCAAAACACGTTGAACGTTTTGAGACGTCTCAAAACACGTTGAACGCTTTGAGACGTCTCAAAACACGTTGAACGCTTTGAGACGTCTCAAAACACGTTGAACGCTTTGAGACGTCTCAAAACACGTTGAACGCTTTGAGACGTCTCAAAACACGTTGAACGCTTTGAGACGTCTCAAAACATGTTGAACGCTACCTGGAAGGCGCCTGTGAGTGCAGGTGTGTTCCAGGTGCTGTGACTGTAACGCAATTCTTTCCGAGTGCTGCTGGCTGTGCATGGATGACACACCCCTTTCACCCATGCACAGCCAGCCCAGCCCGTCATCCGCACATGACACGTCACCATCCATCCTGACACGTCATCATCCATCCTGACACGTCATCATCTGCATGTCATCACCATGCGCACCTGTGTTGTCATACACGCTGTGCTCCAAACTGGCCACCGACTCTGTTGTCTGTGCCCGCGTGCTGGGCTGTGATGGGAGGAGGGCAGAGGGGAGGGGGATCACAGGGTTGGGGATACGAACAGCGATGGGGGGGGAAGAATAGGGTTGGGAAAAAGAAGGAGCAGAAAGAGTGGGGAAGAGGAAGGGAGAGGACGTTAGCAAGGGCAAGGATGGCCTGGTAGTAAGTAGGTGCTGTGCTGCACATGCTGCGCTCTCTAGATTCGCTGTGAAGCTTGATTCGAACTGTCTCAAAGCAGGAACAGCGCGAGCATAGCATAGCATAGAAGGCAGGCAAGCCAGTGCCATGCCACTTTTGAGTCGACTCAGAATGACTTTTGACTTTTGACAGGAACAGCGCGAGCATAGCATAGCATAGCAGGCAGGCAGGCAGGCCAGTGCCATGCCATGCCACCCACGTCGTGAAGGAGTCCGTTCCGTTATAGAATGCTCAAAAGCCACTCCACTCACATCGTAGACAAGAGTGACCCACCCACGCGCAGTCGCCCTTGAAGCTTCCCTGAGACACGCCTCAAAAAAGCATCTCAAAAGCAGCACGGCGCTACTCACATCGTAGACAAGAGTGACCCACGCGCCCTTGAAGCGAAGGTTGTAGCCGCACATGCCCATGAGGAGCTGTGGGTGGGGAGGAAAAGAGGAGGGATTTGAGGGCGAGAAGGAAAAAGAAGCGGCGTATTGAGTCACCGGCTCGTGCGCCCTTGAATTGAAGCCAAGGCTGTATCCACACACACACAGCCGTGAGGAGCTGTGGTTGGGGAAAGGGGAAGGGGGGCGGCAGAGGGTTGGTTTAGAAGAAGCAGGGAGAGGTGGGAGAATACATGAAGGCCGGTGGAAAGGCAAACAAGCTTTATGGGAATGGATGAGGCCTGAGTGCCATGGGCGGGCGTCTAGTCAATGTCAACACGAGGTAACTGAGGGCTGAGGGCAATCGAACGTACATACACTAACTGAGGGCTGACTGACTTGCACCCGGCTGAAACACCTGAAAGCCAGGTTCCAGTGTGGTCTGCACTGCCCACCCACCCACCCACCCTCCTACCCTCCCACCCATCCATCCCACCCATCTTCCCATCCACCCACCCACCCACCCTCCCACCCAACGACCCTCCCATCCCCCCACCCACCCACCCTCCCACCCACCCAACCACCCATCCCACCCACCCAACCACCCAACCACCCTCCCACCCACCTGAGTTAGTGTGATTGAGAGCGCGAGAGAGACGAGGACCCAGAGACAGGTGGCTTTCTGGTCAGAGAGAAGGGAGGGGGAGAGGAGGGGGGGAGAGGGCAAGGGATCAGTTTCTAGGCGACTGGCTGAGAGAAAGGTTTCGGTCGAGCAAGGCGGAGCACGAGAACAAACGAGCATCCAGAGACAGGTGCCCTTCTAGTGAGAGAAAGGGAGCAAGACCGTTTCTTTTTTTTGCTTCTTACTAATAGCGTTTTTATGTAAGTGCCAGGCTTTGCAACCGCGAAGGTAACTTTTAGCTTGTTAGAACGAGGGAAAGAAAGTGAGCAACGAGCAACCAGAGACAGGTGGGTGGCTTTCTGGTGAGAGAGGAGGAGGGGGAAGGAGGGGGGGGATGGGGGGACAGGCAGGGACCTCTCACTCCCTCACTCACAGAGCACCAAGGCGCAGCAGCAGTCTGTCGCGGTCTCCGTACCTCCCCCACACCACTCCCCCCTCCTCCGCCTCCCGATCCCCCTCCCCCTCCCCCTTCCCCTCCCCCCGCCATCTCCTCATCCAGCGCAGCAGCAGCAGCGCGCGCAGCCTCCGTCTTAAACACCACCCCGGGCACCCGCTGCTGCTGCTGCTTCCGCGGAGGGGGACTCCCGCGCGCGGACGCGCCTAGCTGCGGGCTCCCCCGCGCGCCACTGCCCGCGTGGTTGTGGCTGTCGTGGTCATGGGGGTCGAGATCATGGTCGTTGTCGCCCGCGCCGTCGCCCCCCACCTCCCCCACGCGCGCGTACTGCACTGACTCTTGCCCGCTCAGTCCCAGCAGCTCGAATGCCCTCATGGCGGGATGCTGCGCGCAGCGGGAAGGATGGGGGATGGGAGTGGGGGTTGGGAAGGGAAAGGGCAAAAAAGAGAGGGAAGGGGGAGCTGGCGACGTGGTTGTGGCTGTCGTGGTCGAGGGGGTCGAGATCGTGGTCGTTGTCCCCCGCGCCGTCGCCCCCCACCTCCCCCACCCGCGCGTACTGCACCGTGTCCTGCGCGCCCAGCCCCAGCAGCTCGAATGCCTTCATGTCTGCGCGAATGGGGAAGGGGAGGTGGGGGTTGAGGGGGGAAGGAAAAGGAAGGTTGAGATCATGGTCGTTGTTCCCCCCCGACCTCCCCCACCCGCGCGTACAGCACGCTGTCCTGCGCGCCCAGCCCTAGCAGCTCGAATACCCTCATGGCTGGATGCTGCGCGCTCGGGGGAAGAGGTGAGGGGAAAGGGGTAGAGGGGTAGGGGAAAGGAAGAGGGAGCCTCCCCCACCCGCGCGTACTGCACCGTGCCCTGCGCGCCCTGCCCCAGCAGCATATCCGACCGCAAAAGCAAAATGCGGTGGAACGCGGGCGAGCATCGATGTTAACGTGCCGAGATAGGTTGAATTGAACCAAAATACGCACCTCACCTGCGCTTCGAAGTAGACACCTGTGCCCAAAATATTTGTCGAACGGTTCCCCTCCGCTTCGTGGCTTGATTTCCGACGCGAAATGCGTGGCGGCTCTTGATACGGACGAACCGAGAGGTCAGGAACCCAATGGGAATTGCGGCGGAACGGTTTTTGAAGCGAAGAGAATGGCGGAACTAAGAATAAGTTACTAGGCGGGTGGTTTTTAGAAAGGAAACCTATTTGACGAGACTCACAAGCCAAAAATGTCCTGTGACTTGGGATAACATCTATAATTCTACGCGCTTTTATCTTTTCATCCACTGTCTGCCGTCATGGCAATGCAAGTCGAGCCATTTCTAAATAAGCAGCGCATGCGCATGCGTAGCGGAGATAGCGCGGATAAAGTGCTTTGGCGAATTCACGGATAGTAGTGCGCAATGCGCGGCGCCAGATAGAGACGATGCTTCTTGCGTAAGGGAGGAAGAACGAATAGCAGCAACGAGCCTCTATTTCTGTTCTCCCGCCAATCGCACAAATATCTCGTTGTCTGGTCTGGACGACGTGATGCGACTACGTGTACGACTGGCTGCGACGTGAGCCTAGACTGGACGAGATTGTACGACGCTGCATAATGGGCAGATTGATGTGCTTTTTCGCGCGAAGCAGCATTCGACACCTCAGCGAAGGAATCGTACGAAGTCGCTGAGAACGGAGTCGTACAGCTCTTTCGCAGGGTCGTTCGCAGGGGCTATCAACCAGCCAAGCAGCACGACAAAGACCCTTGATTGTGATTGGTTTGTCCCAGCAACGTAAAGAAGTTCCAGCGTAACTTGGCGCTGACGAATGGGGGGAGGCCAAGCTCACACAACACACCCATCATCGTGCTCCCTCAAAATCGGACTCACTCTCTCAAAAGCATAAAAAGTATCTGATAACAAAAAAAATGGTAACCCTGGTGAACCCACTAGTGATCACAAGAACCCTTCCGTCCGTTCAACATCCGTCAGCTCTCCGCCATGGATTCTGTCAGGCTCTTTGATTAGCCCAATGTGTTGGAGTGTGAAGGGAATTATACTTAGCATTCCCGTAGGTGCAGCAGTACCGCACCTGACTTTGTCGAAGCAGCAACATCCGTAGTATCGGATCAGCCCGTATCAAGGGCAGGAAGGTCAACAGTCGCAAGAGTCAACTGTCGCGACTGTTGACTGTCTGGACCGACGCCTGACTTACCATCGAGGAATGGCAACAGGCGTAACCGTACAGGTTACATGCAGAGACTCGATAACAAGAAGGTAGTGCAATAGTCAGAGTCACTGTAGAAATGCCTGTAAAACAGTTATAATAAGGGAATGTACCCCGTAGAGTACATGGCTAGACTAGGACTATTTATATTCCTTGTATTCTATCTCTTAATAAACTTGGTCATTTACATTCACTATGATATGAGTTCTTGCAAGACTTCCGCTACCAACTCTACCAAAGCACTTCCTATCCTATCCAAGATCCTCACTCTAACATGGTATGAGAGCTAGTTTGGATTATAGGATCTGCTAAAGGGGCTTCCAACAAAACTTCTTTATAAAATAATCTCAACATCGACAACATCAAGGGCATCAACATGCCAAGCGCAGACTATGGAGAGGCTGGAGAAAATCCAGTGCAACCCTCCACTAATGTCGCCTCTACTACGACGACCGTGGACACAGCGCTCCTCGAGCAGCTGATCTCCCGCATCAGTGCACTGGAGAGCCACCAGCCAATGAGCATTGACGGCTCAAGTTACGCCCGAAGACCTCCCGATCCTCAAGGAGCTGGATCTGAACGATCCTTTACCTTCGACAACCGCGGAGCTCAAGGATCTGCTCAAGCACAACAAACACATTACGAGGCAATGGCTTCAATGCAAAGCAAGTTCCTCTCGACGTCGAAGCTCAGGACTACCAAGCCCTTCGATGGACAAGACTTCTATACCTGGAGCTTTGAATTCGAACTCCTAACTCAGGGCGCTCAGATCTTGATGTACTACGACGGATCATACCCTTTTCCGACAAACGGCTCACCTCAGGAGAAGACGCAATACTACAACGAATCGCTCCTGGCCTTCACCGTCCTGATCCGAAATCTGTCGCCCGAAGAATAGCTAGCATTCGCCCCTTCAAAAACGAGTGGGCGCCCGCGCAGCAGTCCTGGGAACACCTGCGCACCTGCCACATGGCAACAGATTCGGTGACACTCAGTCGCCTGCTCAACCAGCTGAACAACGTCAAGATGTTTCCCGGCGAAAAGGCCGGACCATACATCAACCGCTGCAGGAACCAGAGAGATCAATTCAGGAAAAGTGGCGGCAACTTCCCTGACGATATGTTCGTCACCATCATCCTTGCTGGATTGAGCCCGGAATGGCGCCAATGCAAGTCCCTCCTTCGTACACAAGGCACTCTCAGTGAGACTGCCTTTTGCTCCACGCTTCTCTCCGAGCAGAAGGAAATCGACCTGTACAACGAAAGAGGCAACAAGAAAGAGAAGATCGCCTTTTACGCTCAAGCGCCACCAAACAAGAAAAGACTCTTCTACAAGTACTGCAAGAAGACTGAGCACATGATTCAAGACTGTTGGAAGCTAAATGGTAGTAACAACAACCAGAAGGGTGCCGCTGCTCACCAGCTAGGAGGAGCCGCAGCGCGCAACCAAACTGTGTCGCCGCCAGCCGTCGCCAGCACGTCCCAAACCCCGGCGCGTCTCCCTGCGAACACAAGCGACAAGGGCAAAAGCAAGGTCTTGACTTGCATGGTGCGTCGTGGACCGCCTCGCCCCAACCGTCACTACCGCTTCTTCCGCAGTTGGGAAGATATGTTTGCAGACCCGCCTCAGGAGCAACCCGAAGGATTAGTCGAAGAAGAAGAAGAGAACGATCCAACCTACGACAAGTTATCGGTCAGCCGGATGCAGTTCGACTGGGAAGCGCCGGAGTGGATTCAGGAGTCACCACCTGCGCGCATCGCAGACGACGACGAAGAAGGTTACTACGACTACGAAAATTATCACGACATGGAACATCACATCACTCCGAAGCTTGCCAATCTAGCCAAGGCAAGAAAGGAAGTCAACACGTGGTACCTGGACAGCTGCTGTGGTCAGCACATGGTGTCTTCAGATGTCTTCATCCTCAACAGAGAGCGACTCTTCAACGAAGTGGAGATCAACGTCGCCAACAGCCAAACCATCTACGCCAGAAGCCGCGGACAAGTGCAACTGGAGTCCCACGACACCGGCTACTGCATCCACATAAGTGATGTCCTCATCGTGCCGGAACTCTGGTACAATCTCTTATCGCTCCACCAGCTGATGAAGTGCGGGGTTGGCCTGCAAGCGACAGAAGACGAAATGCACTTAATATACAACGGCGTCTTCATCGGAAAGGCAACAAGTGTGGAAGGCGTCTTCGTGCTCGACTTTGAGTCGCCCAGAACCACCGGCGACAACGAACACATGCTTGTTCTTCACCCTCCGGGTCACCCGTCACCGCCAAGATGGAGCCACCCAGAAGAAACCGATTATCAGCAACCTAGTCTCAATGGCACCTTCCGCGCTCTCGCCGTACCCGTCGCCTCAACAACGAACCCTGCAGAAACCGGACCGCAAGCAGTGGAAGAAGGAGAGGAGACCACATCAGGGACGGCAGTCGAAACAACCGAGCCGACGAGCACGAAAACCTTCTGGCCGCCTGTTGAACGCCCTACCGGCTGGAACACAACTGAAGGACGGGACGCAGTCGATATGCGTTGGAACACGGAGAACACTGTGCTGGGCGAAGCTATCTCAGCTGAAACTGGATGGGGCAACATCGCCGACGCACCTGCAGAAGAAGCAGCAAAAGAACCAGAAATGACTGAAGAGGCACCAGAAGCAGAGGAGGAAGAGTCACTGACGGAATACGGACCTCACCTGCTTCCCATCACGACAGACGGCAGAGACCATCTTTGCCTCGAGACAAGGGGAGTGGCAATCGGCGATACCCCACTTGAAGAAGAAGAAATTGCGCAGCCCGAAGATCGCCACGCATGAACTTCGCCCCCAGAAAGGCCACTGGAGCTACCGGTAATGATGGACACTGTCACCGTCAGCGACACCAGCGGAACGTATCATGGCGTGACAATTCAAGCAACGGCAGTTCAAGTCACCGTGCCTGACGAACCTGCGGACTTAACAAGGCAAGAAACAGCAGAGGAGATATTAGCGCAAGAGAAGGAACTGTACGCGCGCACTAAGGGATATCGGGCCGACGGAGACATCTGGCATCAACGCATGGGACACCCATCAATCGAAGTGCTCAACAACTGCATCAACGCAAATGTTTTTGCGGCAGACGCACTGTTGCTGCCCGATGGAAAGCTGCTGAAACCACGAACGGAACTGCCGACCTGCACGGTCTGCCCGGCAGCCGCGCTCCGCCACACGCCCTTCGTCGAAAAGATTCCAGGAGCCGAACGATACAAACCACGGGAGAAGGTTTACAACGACTTCTTGGTTCTCACGGCGAAAGGAGTTGGAGGGGAGCAGTACACCCTTACCTTCATCGACGCTGGCACACGCTTTGTCTGGGCCGTGAACGTCAAGGACCGCTACCTCGCCTACTACTGCTTCGA